AAGTCCTTCTGAATTTCTCAAGAACTGCCATAGCACTCTGTTTCAAAACTGGACATGTGTTATTTTTTCAGTTCTGATGCCAAAGCATATTGTGCAATTTTACAGATTATCAACTTTATCTTTCCTGTTTATTTTAGCCCATTTTAAAACACATTTGAGAAATTTCTGGCTACTTTGAAATGCACATAAAATCCAAAGTCCTCCTATATTTTTCACCCACCTATATGAGGAACGGGTAAAAATTTTCAGTTGCTTCCTTTTTTAAAGGATTCTTCTGCTAATCTCCAGCTCCATTCAGATCTTACAGCAAAAGGTCTGGGATAAAAACCCCAGTGATGAGAAATGTGTGCAGAGTATCCTGTTTACTGCTCTCTATGCTCACAGAAGCACAGATGAGAGCTCTCCTCTGCCCACTTCAGGCTGCAAGGTGAAGACATTTAAATGCATAAACCAGAATTATTTTGCTGCTTATCTTTAGAATCTTCCTACCAGAATTATTTTGCTGCTTATCTTTAGAATCTTCCTATTCTCATCAGTTTTTAAATTGCTTTCTTCTATTTTCAAGACAATATCCTGCAAAATAAGCCTAGAATCCTAATGGAATCAAAGTAGATGGGAGTAGTTCTGTGCTGTTTGAACTACTTTAGTGGTCAGTTACTAAAATGCATTTGCATTCTCAGTGCCATTTACATGTAAGACAAATCAAGAGATTGTCCTACTGTGTAACAGATAATTTTATTCAGAAAAAAGTATTCAGGTTTTGAATTGGTTACATTTAAGTATGCTCATATGCTAGACACTTAAAGCAGAACATAAGCATATCTAACATACTCCAATGAAAAGAAAAATGGTGGTTAATAAAAACCAAAGAATATCATCTGCTTTGTTAAACACATGCTTCACTCCAATTTTATTGATGACTTTTAGTCAAAAGCCATAATAAATAACACAACCAGCTCAATAAATTTTATTTGACTTCAAAATCAGTAGAATTTGTAAGTTAAATCCAAAGCCACTCTCTTTTAACAGGATTTTAAAAGTGATTTTTTTGACAGTACTGAATTATCAAACTCTACATTAGATTAACAATTTACACAGTGCTCGACACTGACTGAGGGGAGACGGAATCAAAATATATTTGTTTCTTTGCCATATATAGGCTGCTATAGAATTACATCAGTATACTCATGTAAACCTCCAATGATTAATTGCTTCTTACTATATGTGCAATAATTAGTAGACTTATATGTAAAAGAAACCTAAAGGTTTTCCTGACATACTTTCCCTGCAATGCTAAGAAATTTAAAAAAAAAAACAAAACAAAACAAAAACAAACCTAGCACTCTCCCCTGTAAACAATTCTGACATCCTATAACCACTCTGACAGTTGATGGCTTCCCTGGAATCTCCAGTGTTTCCCTCTAAAGCAACACTACACTTGGAAAACAGAGCTAAACTTTAATACCCTTCTGATTAAACTAGCAGTTCCTCAAACACAGCAAATACATATCACAAGCAGCAGCAATTAGAGCTTTTCACTCACAAAAAGCAACTAAAAACAAAAACTCCCTCTCACCATCTCTTAAAGGTATCATAGCAAATTTTAGCAAAAAACTGTGCCATGTCAGTGTTCTACTGGGGAGAGTGGCAGGGCAGGGAAAGAAGGTGCACCACTCTAAAACGACTTCTTTTTTTATAAGCCTTTGGAATGCCTCTTCTGGACACTCCCAACTCCTGCTGGTAAGTAGAGGAGATTTTCTTTCCAGCTATATTAATTTTCTTCAAGAAAACAGTGGTGACACCTCCAGTATTTCCAGTGATCCTTACCTATGGCCTTTATGTAACAACAGGAGAACTCCAGCCTACTACAGTACATCTGAATGAACACCGACACAGAAAGTGGCCGACTAATGCAACGGCAACAAAATTTGAAAGAAGGACCTGGATGTAACCAGCTCCTACTGCATGCGTTGGGACACAGACCTAAGAATATAGAAGAGTGTCACTCTATTGCATAACTCAGAATTCAAATGAAGAGTTCAGCAGTTCTGGTTTATAAGTTCCACAAGGACAGGAAAAATAACAGGATTTTTGCTAATATGACACTACCATAGAAACTGGGGAATCCTGCCCCAGTTTACATACTTTATTATAGGCACACTGAAGCAGCTTTTCTGATTTTGAGTCACTATGCAACTGATTTTCTGGCAGAGACAGAAGAGTTTTTGTTTTGTATATATCTTTTTTTAAATTCAGGTAAATGTTACACTGCAGAAGCAGGCAAGTGCAGTACAAGGCTTGTCTAAAATATAGAACATTTTTATAAGTAGCTGCACCCCTTTTCAGTCTTTACTAAGAGTCTTTTAACACAGCTAAAAGTAGCTTACAAGAATCACTTAAAGACAGGTTGCAGAAAGCACTAATTTTGGTTATCACTCCATTCACTACCTCACCTAGCCTTCACACTTCATTATCTCAACTCAATTCTAAAATGAACTTGGGGGTTTTTGTGAGGGATTTAGGTTGCAAGGGTTTTTTTTTAAGCTAACAATGAGTATTTGCTTTAAGTGCACAAAGAGAAGCCATTTCCAATTAACAGGCATGGCTTAGGTCATGATATTTTGATCATGGCACCTTAGTTTTCAAGTCTAATGTTTTAATGGCATAGGAAGCACAAAGAAACTGAATGTGATACCAACTCCCTCTTGTATATCCTTACTCCTGATTCTTACTGTTCAAAACCCAGAATGAAATCTCTTTCCCCACAAACATTCTTTCATAAGAAACAACAGGGAAGTGGGTAGAAATTCCAACTTATCAAAATTTCCAACTTCATACTCAAAGATAAAAAGCAAGATCAAAAGCAGTAAATCTAGCAGAAATTTCTCCTTCCAAGGGTTCCACAGACTCCTGAAAAGGGGTTGGCTCTGAACTCCATCAGTATTCCTGTGATTTAAGAAGCACTTGTAGGCAAAGTGATTATTTAAACTTTATTGAAAACCCTCTAACAAAAACATACTGGCTGACATAGTGGTTTTTTTCACTGATATTTAGCAACCAATGTAAACTATTTTACAAACAAAAATAATCCGTATTCTTTTGGTACAAAGTGTCCCATACCAAGAGAATAAATCAGTCCCAAAGCTCTCAAGCTTTCAAGTATAATTTTGTATTTAAGGGAATTATTCTACAGTGTCTTTGGGGAAAGTCCATGGATAGTTCTAAGCTGCTCAAGATAGAAGCACTTACAGGGCTAGACCTTTAAAATATAGCTCAAAATCCACACTGAAGAGGTGATAAAGGGATTCTAAACCCACAAGTTCACAAGCAGCATCAACCAAAAGTATTTCTAGTTGCCCCATTTCATCTTTGTCATGAATCTAAGTAAACAATGCTTTTGTGGACGTAAAATTTTTATGAAAAGGTAAAAACTTCTCAGATTTTTTCTCTAAGTAAATTTATTTAATCTCTATTAGTATTTAAATTGACCAGAAATTGCTATTCATTTTAGACCTTGACCAACACGGACGCAGATAAGGCAGCATAGAAATTTTTTTTTTAAATATACAACCAGTTCAAGTTAGTAAAGCATTATCCCAGCCAGTATCAGTCCCTTTGTTTCTATATTGCAGAGATTAAACCAACATACCAATTTTAAGAGTAGACTTATTACTATGAAGATCATACTGTCTTTCACAGGTATGACCATATATAACCCAGCTACCTGCAGTCAGTGATTGCATCTCCTAGTAAACCAGTATTATTAAACTTGCATAACCTGAGATTTTTTTCAATGCACGGCATCCTGATTACTTTTTATAAGACACAGGTGCCCTGTGAAAATGCAACTGAAATATGAATACCTTTTTTTACAGTTTCACCCAAACATCGAAGACCTCCCATTAAAATAATTAGATGGTGTTAAGTCCTTTTCTCTCTTTGATGTTCAATTTAAACATTTATAGATCTGGAAGCAGACCTAGATCATCCTAGTTAAACTGGGATGAGAATTGGTATCATTCCAAAAATAAGACAACTACAAATAAAATCAAGTAAATAAACACACTGAGTTGTAACATCTTGCAACAACATAAACAAAGATAAATGACACAAACAGGTCTTTTGAGGTCTTCACACAGTCTGCTCGGGCAAACATCCATCACAGGTGAAAGACAAGCAGACACCTAAAACCTGAGCGCTGACCGAGAACACCCCGTGTTCCCTGCGCCTGGCACCGTGAGGGGCGACAGCAGGGGAGGGGTCACGGCTCCTCGGCTCCTCACCTCCTCCCTCTCCGGCTTCACCAAAGGAAGGTGAACACAAACGTGACAATGTCCTTCTCCTCTGCTTTCACCCCGCACATGAGCAAGCCAGGGCCGGCAGTGGAGCTCTGCCTCACTGACTCCTGGCCACTAAAGCCTCTCGCAATCCACTCAGCGTTGACACAGGTCACGACTCAGCCCCCAGTCAGCCTCGCAAAGGCCGTAGACAGGAATAAACAAGGTTATTCGCCTGACACCGGACACCGGCGACACTCCCCCTCCCTCTCCCCCCGCCCCACACAGACACAGGCTCACCACAGCCCCGACCCTCCCTCCCCTCGCCAGGTGCGGGCCCAGAGGCCCTCAGCCCTGTCCAGACGGGAGCCAGAGTGGGAGACGGCAGGGAAGCAGCAATTCTCCGAACACCATGCGGGGCATCGGGAGGGGAGAAGCAACAGCCGCCGCCCCCCGCCAGTAGAGCCCGAGGGGTGCGACGAGTGGAAGTGCCGGAAAGGAGAGACCGAGACCTCACTACGGCTCCCTTCGCCATTTTAGCCCCCACGCCCATTCCCCTCCTCCCCGCCCCTCGGTGACAGGGACAGATCGCACTCGTCCAGCGCCCACCCCCCCGGCTGCCCACGGCCGAGCGCCGGCGAGGAGCGAGGACGGCAGCCGTGCTTCTGCCGGGCCAGACCGCAAACCAAAGGGGCTGCGGCACAGCCTGTTTTGTGCCCTTACCGTGGCTCGCAGCCTCACAGCTGCTGCCGCCTCCTTCTCCTTCCTTCCACCTCTCTCTTCTTCTTCTTCGCTTTCTCGCCGCCGCGGCGGCTCCTCACCCCTCCGCGCCGCGCTCCGCCGCCGCCGCCGCCGCGCAGAATGATGCCATCTCACAGCGGCATCGGCGGCTCCCGCACAACAGCCCTCCTCCCGCCCCTCCCGGCACCGCTCCCGCTGCCGCTCCCGCTGCTCCCGCCCGGCGCCCCCGACGGCCGGGCCAGCCTCGTGCACGCGCCCGGGGCACGGGCAGCAGGAACTTGTGGAGCTGGAGCCGGAGCCGCTGGAGCCGCCCCGGCGGGAGGGCCCAGTCGGGACCGAGCAGTGCGCAGCGGCGGTGGGAGGGAAGAGGCGAGCCTGAACCGAGGCTCTTCAAAGGGGACAGGGCTTATTCCTAGCGCCTGCCCCGGGCTGAACCAAGTCGGGCGCCGCGGCGGGGAGAAGAGCCGAGAGCACGGAATCGACTTCGGGGGAGGCGGGGCCGGGCTGCAGCCCCGGGGCACCGGCCGCGGGACAGAGCCTGCTGGGGCAGGATAAGGAGGGCTCCTGCAAGTCGCTGTCCCCCGACAAGGCTCCTCTGCGGCGCGGAGAGCCAACACACCCCGGTGCGGTGCGAGCGATAAAGGCGGGGGGTGTCTCCTCCACCCGCCTCCCGCCCTCCCTTCCCGGCCGTGCAGGCAGGGCGGGCTCCTGTGCCCCGCCGGGAGCCTCCGCCGCCGCCGTGACAGCAGCCCTGCCCGCGATCCCCCTGGCTGGTCCCCGTCCTCTACCGCCGAGCCTCTTCTGCCTCTCTGAGTGCAGCCCTTCCCGTTCTGGGGCGGACGGATGTAGGCAGGGGAGAGCAGCCCCGCTGCGGGACCAGACACCGCCCGCCCGGCGGCACCTCCGACAGCCCCGGCATGGGCGCGGGGCCGGCTTTCCCCTGGCAGGAGCCACAGGCCGCTCTGTGGATTTGGGATTTACAAACCCAAAAGTAGTTATATGCACAATATATGTGCATATATATTGTGATATATATGTATAGTTATATGTGAAGCTGAAGTTGTGTCTTACATTGAAGACTTACGAAGCTTTGTCTTCGTACCGTACAACGTGACGCTGTGGAGGCAGTGATAGCATGAACTTTCGGGCATAAACAAGGCCTTTGAGTGGTTGTCCCGGAAAGTCCAGCACTACTGTTAATTGAAAGGAACAAAAGCTTACAGTGTGAGACCCTGAAGCAACTTTCAGCAACGTCTGGTATTTCAATATTCTTAAAAAACAGCATGGGGGCTAGCAATCTGATTTGGGCAAGTAAATTCCTTCAGGAAATGAAAGGAATGCTCTCAAAAGTGCTACTTTCCAACCTATTCATTCTTCTTAGAAAATCTACAGGAAAGCAAAGTTTCCAAACAGAGTTTGGAAAGGAAACAGTGTTTACAGTTCGGCTTCAAAAGTATCTTAGAGTATTCTAGAATAAAAAATATTGGTCTACTCTTGACTGGTAATACTAGAACAAGTGACTGAAAACTCTGATAGTTTGAGCTTCTGTACACAGCAAATGTAACAGAATATATGGGCTCTGCACTCACAAAATCTGGCATGGGCAGTAAGATGAGCTGTGTGCAGTTAGCAACCTAGATTCTAGTTGCAAGTTAACCAAGTTAATCCATCTGATTTACAGAATTCAGCATATGCTAATTTCTCTACAACAATTAAATCTTACATTTAAAGAAACCTCTTTAGTTCTGAGGTTGTCCAAAATTAGGAACTTGCTTACTCCAGGGAACCATTTTTGCTATATTTTGGTAGCACTTCCAGAGTGTGGTAATAAGCTCCACCTCACTTTCCTGGCTGTTTGTTTTTCTAGGGTAAAGCAGTCTAATTGAAATGGATGTAGCATTATATGCCCAGCTGCAAAGGGTGGGTGAAGGTGTACGTGGCAACATTCTCTCTCTGGTCTTTGCAAAAGATGTTAATTTCTCTTCTATAAAACTTTGCTTGTTAGTAATATCAGTAATCTGATGCTGATACTTCATGGAAAGTATGAGCATTACTTCTTAGTATATGTGTAAAATTTCTAAGTGCTTCTTTCTTGCCTTATGAAGTATGAAAAGTGTGTAGTTATGTAATACTCTGTAGACAAGTTATGGGCTTCTCTGGCTTCCCTCCTCCCTGTTTCAAAACACATTTTGTCATACATTTGTCTCACTCTGGGGAACATTGACATTCCAAATACTCTTGCATCTTAAAAGACATTTGATACCCTAATGAATGGAAAATGTCACAAGTTTGTTAATGCCACAAGTTTGGTTTTAAATGCCTTATAATACCTCTTCAATATTTCTGACTACTTTTAGAATAGTAGGTAATGGAAACATAGAATCATGGAATGGTTTAGATTGAAAAAGACCTTTAAGTTCATCCAGTTCCCCACCCTCCCTGCCATGAGCAGAGACACCTTCCACTAGACCAATTTTTACTCAGAGCCCCATCAAACCTGTCCTTGAATACTTCCAGGGATGGGGCACCCACAACTTCTCTAAGCAACATGTTCCAGTGTCTCACCACCCTCAAAGTAAAGAATTTCTTCCTAATATCTAATCTAAATGAACCATCCTTCAGCTTAAAGCTATTCCCTATTGTCCTATCTCTACATCTACATGGTAAAAAGTCCCTCTCTGGTTTTCTTGTAGGCCTCTTTAAGGACTAGAAGGTGCCATAAGGTCTCCCAAGAGCCTTCTGTTCCCCAGGCTGAATAATGCCAATGCTCTCAGCCTGTCTTCATAGAAGAGCCAACTCATGTTCCAGTCCCCTGATAGTATTAAATACTTAATGGTTAAAAGCCATGCGTTGACAACTTGCTGAAAACCTTCAAGTTACGGACTTATACATGGATACTTATACCTGAGAAAGTGCAAATACAGTTGTCTTCATTTTGCAGATAAACACCTTTGTTTGTTTGTTTGTTTTCTTCTTTGTTTTGGCCAGAAAATATTACAGACTATCATGCAGTGCTGAAGGCTAGCAGAAATTAACGCAGGTCTGGTGTCCTTGTTACCTTAGAGCTTTGCTCTTTGTAGGGTGAAATAAAGAGTTTTTATTAACCCCTAGAAAAGTTAGCCTCAGGTAAGGTTTGATAAGTCACTAAACTTACCAAAACAAATCAACCAAAGTTGGAATTTTGCAAGAGGGTCTGCATAAAGATTGAAACAAATATAAGAGTACCTTCTATACACAAAATTCCTGAGACAGTAATTTATGATACTTGTGAAAGATTTTAACAGTATCTCCTTGTGTATTTCTGACATTTTTTTCCCTTACTCTTTACAAAGTAAGGAGAGTTTTGGAGAACTTGGATTCAGACCAGATCTCTATAAAAGAGACTCCAGAATATACTGTGATTATCCTCAAATTTTAATAGATCTTCTCTGGCATGCTTGAACCACGTACATTTGATAAGCATGTATTTTCGGACAGGCTATTGCAATGTCTAGGTTTTAATGGACTAGAATGTATCCAGTGGCTGGAATTGTATCTTATCTTTTCACTAATTGTTTCTCTGTTGTAGCTGCACAAACAGGAGTGGCAGTGAGCTCTGCTAGCCTTTAATTGGAAAGTCTGAGTGACAGTAGTTTTGCTTAATTTATACTTCTGGAGAACTCTTGTAGACCTCAATAGGCAGTAAACCAGTACAATTGCAAATTAATGGCTTTCGCAGCCCATTAAATTACTGTACAATACCATCTATTTGCATTTCTGTTTGCCTTTGATTTCTCTAACATTTTACAAAAGCTTTGTGTAAAACTAAAATCCCTGAATGTTACAGAATAGTTTAAAAACTTCTGTAGAAAAGTGTGAGTGAAGTGTAATGATCTAACTTCCTTAACAGTAATGCAGTAGTAAAACGTGAGGCTGAAACCAAATCTTTCTGCCATTAATAGACTCCAATGAAAGCTGATTTTATCTGAGCAAAGGCACACAAAACTAGTCGGTGTGGTTTCTGTTTGAAATGAGCAAAGTTTTATAATACAGGTCTTTAATGCAAATGGTTATGTTGATTGCTTATTCAGCCCTAATTTCCAGATGGGGGGGAAAGGGGAATGTATCTAATGAGAGTAGAGAGAAAATTTCCTTGGTAATTGTTGGTTGGTTTTTGTTTTTTTTTTTTTCTTTTTTACATGGAGATTGATTATTACAAAACTCATGCAGAGTAAGAAAAATTTTGGACAAGTTCCTTTGGATCAGATTCAGAAAAGCATTTAGGCACCTGAATTGTGGTTTAGATAAAACATAAATTTTACCTCCAAGAGCACAAGCCGCAAAACCCTGTAGGTGTAGTCACCCAAGTCTGCCAGTGGATGTACTCTGTGTTCGTAGGCATTGGCAACAGGCACCTGATGTCTTCATTGCAGTAGAAAAAATACTACTTGGCTTACCCCTAATTTGTTTGGGCTCCAGGTGGTAGGTAATATGTCACCTAACATCCCTGGAAGGGTGAATCAGGGAAGTGTGGTTAAAGGTGTATCCAGTACAGAAAGGACCTGAAATTAATACAGAGTACAGAAGATACAGTGAGGACAGAAGCAGGGAGAAACATGGTAGCAGTGATCACCTGGCATTAGAGTGTCATGGTTGGAGAACTCAGAACCTACAAAAATCTGTGTTCTATGCCCTCCTAAACTCAAACCTATCTCTCTTTTCAAGTCAGGCTGTGACCAGTTAGTGCTGTCTCATTTGGGAGCAGGATTATCTTTCCTGTGCCAGCTTTATGGAGCTTTGCAGAGGCACATTGAAGTAATGCTGCAGAGTAATGCCGGACAACTCAGCAGCTAGGGAACATGAGCTAGAGCAGCTGGGAAGTTTTAGTTTCTGGTCCTGCTTCCCAACAGTGTTCAGACATTTTAATCAATGGTTTTTCAATGCACAATATTGGCTCCTGTTCCAGGACAATAAACACTCCCTATAACAACTGAATGTCTGCACTTTTGGCATTCGATCAGTCTTCTCATATTGCTCTCCCAGATTCCATGGTTGTTATGTTCTGAAAGCAGAATGAGTATAGTTATGTGTATGTTTGACTTATATACATGCTTGTGTCTGTAATATTATACCTTAAACATATATTGTCCTTAAAAAATATCGTATTTATATGGTAAGTAAAGGATAAGGGTTTGTCCCTATGTTGTTATGTGGTTTTTTTTGATGTTGCACTTAGAGTACAATCCTACTTTAGTCACTTTTTACTGTATATAATTAAAAGTCTCCAGTTTCACAGTGGTTAAGGAACTTAGTTTCTGCACCATCCAATTATTTAGTCCTATTTATTTATTTCCTTCCATCTGTCAGAGGTATGCATATGTTGCTTCTC